GCAAGGCGTGTGGAACCGCTCAGTTTCAGCACAATAAACCACCCAGTCCTGACTCTTTCCTTCGTTTTATTCAAGGTGAAAGAAAGGGACTGGTTCACAGTGTGACAAAACCTTTGCGGAGCGTTCGGGAAGCGATTGAAGTTCCAGCGGAATAGCGGATGTCTACCGTTGCTCCTGTTTTCGATCTGAACGTAGGAATCATCACCATCGCATTCAAGTTGCTTATAGATATCACCCTATATATGTTTGTCAGCACTCGCGTGAAACGCTGTCGTGAAAACCAGGCAAAATTCCGTCCAGATCGTGGATGCATTGACCTCTTGTTTACCATGCGAGATGGCCCCAGTGGTTAGAGCGCGAATTTACTGACCGGAAGGTCCGTGGTTCGAACCTGACCCCTGCCTCTCGACTTCTCCTGCCTAGGCTTGGGCGACCTGGCCTCGGGCGACCCAGCCCTCGTGATTCCTTCGAGTAGCATGGCAGCTAGGCACCGGAAGGGTGTTACAGCTGAACGATTATTTATCGATTTACGCGACAACTCGAATGCGCCGCTGCGCATGTAGATAGCTTACAGCTACTGTCTTCTCAAGTCTGAAAGCAGTGTTGGACTCGGTCACGCTGCTTCAAACTCGTTTTGAACGTCCCCATCGCACTTCTCCAATTGTCATACTTCAACACCCGTGGGCGTCTGAAAGTCCACGGATTGTATTTTTTCGGACGCCAAAAATTGTTTGTTATTCTACCTTCCAACTTCGTGATCGAGGTAATTATCGAAAATTTGCAAGCTTCCTTTCAACGCTGGTGTGGAACTTCTTGCAGGAGAAGACCTTGAAAACCGACTTTGGAAATGTACCCCCGAGCAATAAATAGGTAGGCGTCAGACGCTGGTGGTATTAGACTTATACTCCTGTTTAATGCATCTTCTAACCCTAGGCTTTAAATCTGGTCCCATAGTGTTTATTCTGTTTGCTTATCTCTACATGTGAATTTGTATACTGAATTCGAGCGTTCCGATGCAGATCCTCCAAGCTTACGGTTGCGTCACTGTTCGTTGTATTTTGGGGTAGTCAGCAGAGCGCATTCAACAGTTTGTCAGTGAATGCGATGCCTCCTGTCCACACCAAGTATTGTGGCTTTTTAGCCCAGGTTTTAGTGGAAACACTGTACTGTATGGTTTTTCAAAGCTAAAAGGACGAAATCGCCCTACAGGCACTTTGACAGGTGCTCAAGGGCAACTCAGTCAGGCGTTAGGCAGTTCTAAGCGCAGTCAGTTGCATCCACAACAATCCATTTTTACTTCGTTGTAGGTTAGCTCGGTGGTTAGCGCGTGGAGTTCGTAGTTCGTACTAGTTCCACCTTATCCTACGCACTTCTACCGCTTTTGTCCAGGTGTGGGCAATCTGGCGGCATCCTAGCCCGCGTACTTCTTTATGGTGGCATGGCTGAACGATTATTAGTAACAGTAGTAATATTGTCAGATGTTAAGTGAAGCTGCGTGTGTTAGCTGATTTTGAGGTGTGGTAGAAACAGAGCCAAAGAAATGGAAGAGGTCCAAAAAGCCAGTAATGCCCGAAGATTACTTCACTTGATCCCCGGAAACCACCTGTGAGTGAAAGCATCAAGCATCAGAATGGAACGACCATCTCTAATAAGGAGGAACGCCTTGACCGGTGGGCTGAATACTTTGAGCAACAAATGTCTTGGCCACCAGCCAGCACTCATCTGCAGCCCACAGGTGAATTAGAACCCTGGACGGTGAACGTGGAACCACCTACGGCCTCGGAGGTTTACGACTGCATATGTTCTCTCAAGCGCCACCGAGCTCCCGGTCCGGATGACCTCCCACCTGCACTGTTCAAAGACGGAGGTGAAGTC